TTACTTTGCTTCTATATATTGATGATATGTTAATTGTATCTACCAGTTAACTTTAGATTGATAAGATGAAGAATGAATTGTGCTAACATTTTAAAATGAAGGATTTGGTTGAAGTTCACAAGATTCTTAGCAAGGAGATTCTAAGGGATAAGTCACAGTTCTCCGTGACTCTCCGCAAGCACCTGTAGAATTGTCTTTCATAGTTATGTGGCTGACGTGAAGTCAGCAGGGAACTCTGAAGTCCACAGTGGCACTTCAATCCTCGAGAGGTTCCAGCAATCCTCAAGCTCATATCTCCTAAGTGTTTTAAAAGATAAACCATTTGACATAACACAAGTAGAATTTTATAAAAGAAGTAATTAATTACAGTTTTGTGCAGACGTGAGGTGTTAGAGGACTCAATATATCAACCAACGAATATGTCACTATAGTAAGACATTAAGCAATATAAAAAAGGGTTCTTGGTTGTCATTAACCCATGTAATGTCAAGCTTATGTGTGTCACAGATGCATATCACAAAAAAAAAACTATTCAGAAGATCCTCAAAATCCAAATCACTAAAAAGAAGAGAGGAACTCGGTTGCCTTCATTAGGATTTTACATGTGACACCAACGAACATAAACTAATAGGCAATCCAGAAGAACCTATAAGGTCAGATGTCTCATTATGAACCTCTCAAACCCACCAAGAGAAAAAACGAAAGAAATGCAAATGGAAAAAAAGACACTTACAAATAATGAATATCAAATAAAGAAGGAATTGTAAGTGTCTTTTTTTGATATGAACATTAACTGTATAAAATACAACACAACAAAAATTGAATCTATTCAATAATCATTACAATTAATAATATAATGAATACTCAAATCACCATCATACTATCGCATCTGTAATTTGTTCCTTCAACTCTACCATTCCGCTTGCACCTTTCTTATCTTTAGAACATGTCTTGGGAGCATATTCTCATCATGTGATAAAGAATGTCCAAGATGGTACTCAAATGCCTCGAAAGGGACATGTTCAAAATCTCGGTCCGCCCTACAAAAGCCGGTGTTATTATGGGAAGGATGTTATCGAACGTAATTATGGAGAGTCATCGTGACAATCCCAATCCGCACCTTTTTAGGAAACGAGTAAGTTGGAATATCGAGCAGCGTAACACATTTCTTCTTCCAAATACCAAAAGTCCTCTCAATGACACCGAATAAGGAGAAATGTCTTTATTGAACATTTATTTACTACCCCGCGTACATTGTTGGCTTGCTTAAAGTCAGGTATGTGGTGTCTTATATCAGGATAGGGCTTGAGATACCCTCAGTGCAATGGATAGCCAGTAACAACAAAATAGGATTTATCTGTAATAAATGCATGATTAATATATTGGGAAAAATGAATTAGGAGAGTAGCTTAGTCTAAAGCGTACCTATAGGCAGATGTGAGAAGTTGTACCTGTTATTCTATGTTGTGGCTTTGAAAATTTGACTGTCATGTGCGCTGTCACCCTAACCGATAATGACAAGGGTGAAACACATGTTGAAGTACCATACCACTACAACATTCTACGTTAGGGACCCACAATGGTCGATGAATGTGATCTTATTATTTAGAACACATGTATCATCGTGTGTTCCCTCGATTGATCTAATACAATTCTAGAAAGAAAATAAAGGGTTACGTTATTATGATGGTTATTTGAAAGTTTAATGTAATAAATTGGAGAAATTACCTTAGAGAACGATATGTACCAATGTTTTTATTCTTTTTCTCTTTTTTATTTTAAAAGGAGTCATCATCTTGTCGATTGTTGTATAATTTCATTATTCAAATAAATCTACCTCCTGAATCATATCAGTGATTCAAAGAGGAGATGAACTGAATGAGAAGAAACATACAACAAATTAAATAACAACATAAAAGAAAAAAGTTGAGAGCCTACATGCGATAACCCTCACAAGGAAAAGTCAAGCATATCCGCCCAAACAAGATCGAGAGAGGAACCTTGGACCAATATCAGCGAATGAATATCTACGTAGACTACCCATATCCAGAGAGTCAGGTGTATGTAATTGTTCTGGGGTCAACTTGACTTCTAGAGGAACGTGTTTACTAGTTAATTACATCTCAAGGGATACCCAAGAATACTCTCGATAAAAGGGGTTTCACTTATATTATCGTAAACCTTAGGAAATAGGTCATCAAAGAAAGGTTATTTCATGTGAGAATACTCTGATGCTTCAAAGCTCACGTTAAGTCATCATGCAAAGAGTAAGTATCTCACATCCTAATTAAGTAACAACTCATCGACACACGAAATCCACAGAATAACCAAAATCATCTTGACGGGATACCCCAAAGAGTTAAAACACATTTGGACCATAAGAACATATGATAAATTGTCACATCCCAAAGGAACAATGGCTCATCGGCATCGAGCCATCAAAATGATATTGATGAATTTAAAAGAGCGACATGGCTCAAAGGGGCTAAAAAACAGGAAGGGTATATTAATCCTAACAGTATAGGTAGTTGGGTTGGGGTACCACGAACCGTCATACACAGCCACTAGGGTTTTAAGTCTACCTGGTCATGAAGTTAATCGACCTAACACTTCTAGAGATCCCCAGTAAGTAATTCGTAAATTGCATCATCCACAGGAAACCTCGGTAGCCAAAGTGGCAAGGTCAAGAGAAGTAAACTCTAGTCTTATGACCTATAAGGTTGGAACTCCAAGAGGTGGGACATGCCTGCCGAAGTGGTAAGGATACCTCAAGAAAGAAAGAGAGAGTGAGGTTCAGTTATGAAGTTGGAAGAACTCCTACAAAAGTACTTACACCCCATCTAGGTTGGGGAGCTTTCTAACATCATATGCGTACTAGACAACCACCTCACACTTCACCACCACCTCTACACCACACAACTCTCCTACACCACCACCTCCACACCACACCAATAAATCCACACACTACAATCTCCACACCACACAACCACCCGACGCCACTACACCAACACAACCACGCACCATAAAGTCCAAACCACACACACCAACACATCCACAAACCACACCACACCACAACCTCCACATCACAATGAAGAGAAGTTGGTGTAGGGTGATTGTGTGATGTGCCAAAACAAACACATCCACAATCTCCTCAAGACAATAGTTTCCCACTGAAGTTCCAGTGAAAATGAAAAATAAAACATACAAATCCAGCATGGAATTCCCATTGAAATTCAAAATTCATGTTCCCAGCTCATACTCAACACATACACAACACCCCAAATATTGCAATTAACAAATACAACACAAAATTCCATCCAAATTTCAAATTTCCTACTGAAATATCAAAGTTCACAAGGAAATCCAAATTCCCCACAACATAAGCACCAAAAGAAATCGAATAGACCACATAAAGTGGACCCAAAGCATTGCTAACATGATAAGCACAAAAAATCCAAAGATCACCGCAAAACACCAATCTAAGCAACATTACATCAAAGGGATAAATCAAAACTCGTATGAATGCAACATGAAGCATCAAAACCAAATAACTGATTATATCAAATTGAAAACAACAAAAACTAATCAAATGATGAACCACCAAAATTGAGCTAAAAAATGAAACCAACCATAATAATGCACACAACCACATAAAGAAGAGAGAATAGAGGAGAAGACAGAAAAAAGAGGGAACACCGCACAGAGGCAATCATTCCCACAACCATCAATCCGAGCCAAAGAAGAGAATGGAGAGAGGATGAGAGAATACACAACTCAACACAAAAGGTACCAACTAAAGTGACCCACCAGACCGAAGGACTTCCTCCATCACAAAGAGCACAAAGGGCACACACCACTAAAATTCGAGCGGAAGGAAAGAGGGGAGAGAGAGAAAAATCACTGGTAACTGAAAATAGAGAATCATAAACAACGCCTAGCCACCGGAGCCACGAATCTGTGAGAGAGAGATACCTAGGGCAGAAGAATCACGGGAGAGGGAGCGGAATCGAGAGAAGACAGAGGAAACACGAAAAGAGATGTCGTGCGGTACATAGCCCACGGTCAAGAGAGGAGAAATGCGGGCTGCAGGGTCAAACCCACAAACACGTTTTAATGAATTTTTTTAAGGCATTATTGTGTGTTTTCGAGCCACACAATGGAAAAATCTCAACGCAAAACGGGCATTAATATTCAATTTTTCTTGTATTTAATTAGGTTTAACATAAATTCACAATAAAATCCTATTAATGATATACCACCAAATACCACATTAATCATAATCAAATAATATTGTGGAACTCACAGGATTCTCAGAAAAAAAAAAAAAAAACACAAAGATGGAAGCTTATATTAAAAAAATTACTCTTTCTTGTCTTTAAAATTAACAATTTAAAATCCCGTTAGGGACGAGAAGCCTTGTGGTGCTTCCTGTTTTTAGGCAGCCTTGTGACGCGTACGACGACGAATAACACTGGATTCCAAGGCCTCTCCCGTCCCCAACGCGATAATGCCGAAACTGCCATGCGCGAACATGGAGCGACGAGCGCCACGCGAGAGAGAGAGAGCCTCTGTATGTGGAGGAGGTGTCAGCATCCACGCCAATCTCGGGGAAGCGCAAGTATTTTCGGCTATCTTACCACTTGCTGTTATTGATCTTCCGATTACTGGTTCATCTGCTGAGCGCATTCGTTTTAGGTTTGTAGATGAAAGTTTTTTTTTTTTAATTTTTTTTAACTAGAATGGGGTTTTGATTGTTTTTGTTTTTGGTTTCGATGAGAGTTCGGGATGCTGGATTTTGGTGATCTTGGTGAATGAGGTTAATGTAGCTAATTCATTAATAAATAGAATGAATTACTGCTTCATTTAGCCATACTTTTTATAAATCGTGGAATGCCAGTCGATTTCACAACAAGAAACCGATATGATGTTTTTTGTTCTTTGTTTTGTAACTTTGAAGCCGAGTTGGAAAGGCTGAAACTTGAAAAAATATGGCGCAAGTCCGACCTAAGATTAGGTTGGGAGTGGATGAGGAAACGATCATGGAAAACTTGTTTGGGGAGGAAATTAAATTTTTGGGCCGAGATGGATTTGAAGGCTCAGAAAAGGAGCGACGCATGTGCATGAATGTTATGGATGGAGTGGATGTTAGAAATTTCAGCAATTCTTCCAAGATGGTAAAATTTCAAGTGAGAAGCAGAAATGAATCACTTACAGAAGCCACAGCCAAATCTCCTATTTCTAAAGAGAGTTGTGCTTCTACACAGTCAAAACATGACATGTGCATCGTTGAAAGCTCAGTGGGGATGCCATCTGATGTGGATTTTTCTGCTAGTACTCCTTCACCTGCTGTCCTGAGTAAAATTGTTGCAGAAGAAAATGTATTAAAACATTCCTTAGTGGATCTCCAAACACCGGCCAACCAAAAATACGAAGAGTCAGATGCTACTGGTTTGGTTAATTATGTGTTAGCCCTGCCATGCCAACAGTCGGCTGAACCTAATGTTCCAACCACTGACGCTATCACTGCATTGGTTGAGACGCCAACTTGTAATGTTATTCATGCTCACCTCAGTTCCGAAGAACATCTGGGAAACATAGTTACAGAACATAGCAATCGAATATCGCCAATAGAATATCGTTGGAACCATTATGTAGTAGGGATCTTACCCTTCTGCTCCGCTCACATGCATGTCGTCTTCTTAAGGATGCTGGTTGGCTGGTTAAGATTCGGCAACGCATTCACAAGCCCCAAGTTGATTCCCACTATATATCACCCAATGGACATACTTTTCACTCCCTTTCCAAAGCTTGGGTGGCATTTGGGTCCGAGTTACTTGCTAGTATTCAAATTGCAGGAGCTAATGTCAAAATGGAAAGAGTTTGGGCTCATATTGATGGGTTCTGGGCTGACTTAGCAAATATTTTGGTAGAAATTAATGCAAAGATCCAGGGCATGGAAAAGCCTGCTTCTTTTCTGCTGCAATGGTGCATACTTGATCCTTTCATGGCTGTGGTGTGCATTGATAAAAAAGTTACTGCTCTGAAACGCGGAATGGTAGTGAAAGCGGCAAAAAGTAAAGCAATCATTTTAAGTGACAACAAGAGCTTGTTCTTTGCATCGGAGGGTGCGAGTAAGCTTCAAGATCACACTTTCCCTCGCAACATGGGCCAATCAGTGCAGCCAGTTTTTTCTGATAGCAGGTCAGAGGTGCTTAGATGTTCCAGTGGTCAGCAGTTTTCACCTTTACATGCTTTTCAAGGTTTGAAAAGAAAAGGGAAGCACAATAAATTAGTGTATGGTACAAGCGATGATATGCATTCCCCCAGTAAAAGACACAAAAGCTCATCTAGGCACGTAACCAAAGTGTTTTCTAATGCTACGAACTTGCATGGAATGAAGCACAATATTTCATTAGGTATACTTGATCCTAGAATTAAACACCAATTTTCCAGTCTCATTACTTTAATGCAAAATAACTAATGTTTTTCCTTTTTCATAATTTTCCAGCCAATGATATGCCAGTTCAAGAGGCGATGATCTTTGATGGTTCTTCAAATCCTGATTGCTTGAATCCATCTGAAAATTCTTCAATTCAGACAAAAGGAGTGTGTTGCAGTCCCACTGAGAAATCTAACATTGATAATGATTCTTTCAATGAATCAAGAACTGATCGACCAGTACTTTCTAAAGACACCCCATGCAGCTCGATGAGCACGGCAAATCAAAAGGATAAATTTGGCTCTTCTAATGTTTTTGGTGATAGCAGTAGGAGGGCATTAACTTTTCAAGAAAGCGTTGAAATTGGTGTTAGTTCATATTTCAAGCCTACCGATGTTAGTTGTAATACTCATGAGAGATATGAGGATCTTGGTGAAGTTGGACAACTGGGGAGGACAGATTTTGGAAATACTAGCAACTTTTTCGGAACTTTTTAATGGTAAATCCGACACATCTTAACCACCAGAATTCAGAAAAACAGACGACTAGTTTAATAAAGCAGACATCAAAAAGGTCTAAGAGAACTTCAGAATCTCAATTGGCCAAAAGTACTGTTAAGAAGTCTAAGAAGAATATAGAAAATGAATTCATGATAAATTTCAAGATATCTGAACTTGATGCCAATGAAGAAAGCACAAAGGGTTTGACGTCTAACGTGTCAGAAGCTAATTGCATATTCTCATTCCCTATTTCTATGAATCATTGCAAAAATGATTCCCTACATCTTAACCACCAGAATGCCACTAATTCTAGAGAGGAATTAATTTCAGAAGGGACAACGAAATCTGTTTTTCATCAAATCCAAGCTGAAGAGCCTTCTAAAATGGAGAATGAGCGTGCTAAATTCCAAAAGTCCCATTATTACTTTAATGATTTTAGTGCAGATGTTTGTTCATTGAATGTTTTAGGGAATTCATTTTGTATCCCTCTCAACAAAAGGTTTGATGAAGCTCTACCTACTGACCCTCTCATCAGCAAAGAAGTGGATGAAGTGGATGAAGTGGAGAAAGCTAATGCGTGTGAAAATAATGGAAAGGAAAATCACAGTTATGTGATTCAGAACAATTACCATGCAATGTCAAAAGATGGTATAATTTCGCTAGAGCCTCCACGCGACAAGAGTTTTGATGAAGCTCTAATGCTTGATCTCGGTAGATCCGAAGGAGCTGTTGAGGTAAAGAGAACCGTAGAGGGCAAGAAAAGAGGAAGGAAGAAAAAATATAGGTGCAAGATTATGGATTGTAGCTCTCAAGAAGCGGGCGCGATAAAGAAAACCGTAGAATTCAAGAAAAGAGGAAGGAAAAAATGGGATGGCTGCAAGATTAAGGTTGACAATCTCTTGAATTCTCCCATAATAAACACAATGGATAACCAATCTTGCTGCAGAACTATGTCTGCTAGAAGAAGGAATTCTGAATCTCAAGCATCCAGAGAACCAAGTATGAGATCTTGTAGATCGGCTATGCAACCTGCTAATCGTGCAAGGCAGGCATCTGTTGATGATGGGCAAACACTCAAAGGAGTAAGGACAGTGCTATGCTGGCTAATTAAGATGGGTGTGCTTTCATCTACTGATATCATGCAGTACCAGAGTCCAAGAAATAGTGCAGTGGTTAAGGAAGGTCAGATTACTAAAGCTGGAATTCTCTGCAGATGCTGCCAGAAGATTCTTTCTGTATCTGAATTTAAAAGGCACGCTGGATTCAAGGTGCAAAAACCCTCTCTGAATCTTTTTCTGAAGTCTGGAAAATCGTACATATCATGCCAGCTTCAGGCTTGGTCTGCTGAGTGTGAACTGAGGAAAGATGACATGCGAACTAGAGAATTGCATAAGGAAGATGAGAATGATGATGCCTGTAGATTTTGTGCTGATGGTGGTGAGCTAATATGCTGTGATAGCTGCCCATCTACTTACCATCAAGCTTGTTTGTACTTAAAGGTATGATATTAAAATTTAAATTCAATGCTCCTGAAAATTTTTGGAATTCATATTTTCTTGTCACAAATTTGTCAGATTCTCCCAAATCCCACTCCATGTTCATCCACTGAAACGAAGGAAATGTTGAAAAGGCACCTAGCAATAAATGAACTTAATTCCATAGATTTCTTTGATCTTAGCTCATTGGTTTAGTAAACTAAAATGATTTACTGTGGTAGAAATCCATGTTGTGTGGAAAAAAATGCATGATAGGATATGTTTAGAGTCTATGCTTTTGAGTTTAATTTGTAATTTTTGCTAGATCGTTCTTCAATTTTAATCATCAGAAATTGTCTCTCTCCAAAATTTGGTCACATTTACACAAAAAATTGGACATGTAACTCTTATGTGAAGCTTGAATAAGCACACCAAAGTTGCCAACTTCACAGGAATTTTCTTTCTGATTTATCTTTGTTGACAATCTGTATGCATCTACAACAGAAGTTGTCAAATTAATTGCATAAATTCAGTTGAAAGTTGTGGCATATTGTGTTTCTTCTATTGAAACATTAAGTTTTCTTGTTTCTTTAGCCTAAGTACGGCACACATTTCTTCTTTTTAGCTTGAAGTTTGCAAATGTAATCTTAGACATCTTGTTTTCAAAAATGATTTTATAATACTTTTTATTTTATATCTTTTAATGAATCCTTTTATTTTATTCAGGAGATTCCAGAAGGCAGTTGGTACTGCCCTAATTGTAGCTGTGCTATTTGCAATTGTGCTCTTCATGTGACCAAGGGTTCAGGTTTCATTGCAACACTAGAGTGCTCACAATGCGAACATAAATGTAACTCCTTCCAAACCTATTGTGTATTAGTCACTTGTTTGATCCTCTTACTTGTTGTTAAAATGTTTTTTAATATGAAATAAAAGCTTCAAATAGCTAACCTGGCCTTTAGCTGCAACCAGCCTTGCACTATGTGCTTTAAATTCCAGAATGATTTACCATGTTTCTATGAGCATACTTTTCTGACATATGTGCTAAAACAACCTACCCATGTCTTAGCATATGTAAATCGCTAATTCACAAGTTAACCCTTTATTTGCTGCAGAAATTTAGTTTCACATTTTTTCTTCTTTTTCACTTGAATTCCATCTATGGTAATCTCCTATAAAATTGATGTGAAGGGCGGTGTCATTTAATTTTTTTACATGAGAGTAGGTGATCAATTCTTTTAATTATTTCTATTATTTTCATGTCTGTTAGGTAGAGCATCTAAAATGAGTTAGAATAAAAGAATACCCTTTTATTGAATTTTTTTCTTTGAAATCATCTATGGAGTTTTGAGTTTTTATTTTAGTGTTAATCTCTTTTATTCTTTTTTTATTATGGCATGTTTCTTTCCTTCTTGAGTTATTTTACCTTTGGTAAATTATAATTTTTGTAATTAAGTTTGCTCTGGTCGTTCCTTATTACATATGGAGAAGATTTGTAATTTGATTATTAAGAGATAAAAGAATATGATTTTCTCCACCTTTTCACATAGTATCAAATTTTGGAAATAGATCCTAGCTCTTTTTCCTTTGCTGGAGTCGCTCCCTGTAGTCGCCGGTTCCTATAGGCCCTCCGTCGGATCCTATTCTTGCTATTGTCTCTTTATATGCGTCAATCCTTTTTTGAGGCGCTGTTTTCCTAAAGCCATTTTGTTCCAGTAATCCTTCCCTTTGTTTTCTTTTGATGTTTTGTTTTAATAATCCTTCTTGCACCTTGTTCCGCCAAATTGAGGCTTCCAGACGCGAGCACCTTGTTTCGTCTAATTGAGGCTTCCAAATGCGGGGCCTTGTTATGCCAAATCTAGGGCCTTCTTCCGTCCAATCTAGCCTTTCAGAGCAGCAGACACAACTTGCATGCAGCTTGGCTTGGGAGTTTTTCTCTTTCTAGTGGAAATCACTGAGGTTCTTCTCTTAAAAGTTAACGGAATCCTTTCAATCAGCTTGCAGACCCTTCCTAGCTATTTCCTCTTTCATGCAGCCGAAAATTTTTGCTGCCCTCCTTTCGGGATTCTTCCTGCAAGCCTTCTTATCTTTACTGCTAGCTTTCTTCCAGCAACAGCTTCCGCCATATTAACAGTAGACTCTTCTTTTGTGCCACTCGCCAGACTTTTCAATTTACATGCAATAACGACCAGCTGCGTATGACCAAGTAATGAATGAGGACATCGAGTTCCACTTCGGAGGTTAATCATCCCTTCTATGAACATTTTTAGAAAGTTGATCACACAAAAACAAAATTTGGAAATTACATGGAAAACCTGCCAAATGGAAACCTAAGCAAGGGAGCAAATCAAGACAGCAAGACCCATGCTGTTACCTCTTTTGAAGGAATAGTTGGTGTTGCAGAAAACTCCTTTCGAGCACAACTGAGCGGCTCATGTCCTCCTCCCATCTCGCTGACAATAAAAGATTTTAACATTGGATAATAGATTTAGGTGTTTTTTTATCACATGACTGGAGATATTTATGTTCATACCAACTACCAAGTGTTCACCGATTCCAAATTTGTTAAACTTGTCGACGGATCTCGCTCTAGGATTGTTGAAGAAGGAGAAGTGAAAGTCTCCAAAAATATTCAACTCTCTTCTGTGCTATATGTTCCCCAACCACATTGCAACTTACTGTTAATTAGTAAGTTTGCTCATGACTTGAACTGTATTATTAAAACATTTGTGAATTTTAAGTGGTGGATTCGGGGAGATTGATCGACAATATTGAATTGCATTAAGGTCTATTTCTACTCGAGGAAAGTTTCTCCCTTAACATACACGTGGCTTCTCTTCTGTCCTCTTATCATATTCTTGAGTATGTTAGTTTGATTCTTCTAGAGATCGAGTTATATTGATATTATTATTGGGATCATCCCAATTTTCATTATGTTATAAAGTTGTTATTTCATCTCTTTATTAATAAAAAATTAAAGGTTTATCAGTGTAAAATCTATCAATGGCTAAACATACTCGTCATGTCTATTCTCTGTTCCAGTACAAACATTCACATCATTTTTCTATTATCCATAGTGATATTTGAGGACCATCAAAATTGAAGATCATTAATTGAGTCCGATAGTTTCTCTCTTATTGATGATCACACTCAAACCAGTTGGATTATCCTCATGAAGGAAAAGTCTGATATTGCACAAATCTTGCAGCCATTCCATAACATGATTTTAACTCGGTTCCAATATAAAATTCTGATTGTCAAAATTGATAATATTAAGAAATACTTCATTTCTATCCTTAGACCCTACCTTGCAAAGAACAATATTTTTCACTTGAGTTCATGGGTTAAAGCTCCACAATAAAATGTGATTATGAAAATGAAGAATAGACACCTCTTTGAGGAATCTCAAGTCTATAATGTTTTCTCATAATGCCCCAAAAGTTTTCTAGGAAGATGCCATGCTCACAACCACCTACCTCATTAATAGAATACCAAGTAGGATCCTTGGATTCAAAGCCCTTTTCGATAATGTGATGGAAAAAATGCCCTCATGTCTGAGCCTTCTCATCTAATATTTTTTAAAAAATATTTGCTTATCTTTTTTGTTCACATTCACCAACCAAACCGCACAAATTTTGACCCAAAATTCATCTAATGTATCTTTCTTGGGTGTGCTTTTAAACAAAAAAGAGGTATAAGTACTATTCTCCTATCACAAAAAAAAAAAAATTATAACTTCATGGATGTTAACTTCTTTAAAAACCAACACTATTACCCCAAATATGATATTCATGAGAGAGTCTGTGTGAAGATCAAACTTGGTATACTACTCTGGAAACTCACACTAATCTAGCATCATCACAACATATTCTACCTTTCTATACAATTATGGATATTCACATTGATCTACAGTCTTCACAACCTATTCTCCTTTCTTCTACCATATTCTCTTTCAAGTTTCATCAGTTGAGAACATCCAACTTGGGATTGACAACAAGGAGCTTCTTGTGTATACTAGGAAAAAGAAATCCACTAAGCAGGATAAAAGACAATATTCTACCACAAATGTTCACAGCCAAACTTGAATTCACACATCTTTGAAGTTCTAATGGAGATGGAAGCAATGGAGAAGACAGAGAAAATTGCACAATTTTTTCTATCCAAGATTATGTTATTTATGAAAAGTTATCATCAACATATAAAAAATTTTGTGTCTAATATTGATAGTGTGTAGAATATCAAGTCTATTCATGAAACACTTAAAAGTTCAAATGGAAAATGTTGTTTAAGAGGAAATCCAAGCACTTAATCTAAATAACACATGGACCTTTAAAAAACATCCTCCAGATAAACAACCCACTGGGTGTAAATGAGTGTTCAATGTCAAATATAAAGTAGATGAGAATATTTAGAGATTCAAAGGTAGGTTGGTGGCTAAAGATTTCACTCAGTCATATTTGATAGACTATTATGAGATATCTGCTCCAGTGGTCAAGTTAGACATTGTAAGAGTTTTTTTTTTTCAGTAGTGAATAAAAAATGAGAACTGCATCAACTTAATATCAAGAAAGTGTTTAGGAAAATAAATCATGAGAGAGAAGTGTATAGAAAAATCTCACTAGGACTTCGAAATGACTCATATAAATATTTAGGTTCTAAATTAAGAAAGTCACTTTATGACCTCAAAGAATCTCCAAAGGATTGGTTTGACAGGTTTGTCAAGACAATCAAATCTAATGAGTACATCAAATACCAATCAAATCATGCACTATTCATAAAAGCTTACACAGGAAGGTAAGAATGCTATACTCGTCATCTATGTCGATGATAAGACACTGACATGGGGTGATGTAAAGGAAATTGGGAAGATCAAAGGGGTTCTTGTCGTTGAATTTGAAATTAAGAATCTAGAATCGATGAGATGCTTTTTGGGCATGGAAGTGACTTGGTCCAAGTCGTGTATTGTGATATCATAAAGAAAGTACATCTTAGACCTACTAAAAGAGAAATGAATACCGGGATACAAAACTCCTGAGACTCACATTTCAGGGGTAGAAAAGACACCTGTGGAAAAGCATAACTACCAGAGATTGGTGGGTAAAGTTTTCCATTTGTCACACACTAGAACTGATATCACTCACTCTGTCGGTATTGTGACTCAACATATGAATAATAATGAAGAATATTTGGAGATGTTTTATAGAATATTGAGGTTTCTTAATAAGACCTCTGTTAGAGAGTTACTATTTAAGAAATTAGACAACAAGGAGGTAGAAATATATATTGATGCTAGTTAGCTGGAGAACTCACAGACAAAAGTTTCGCTTTTGGGTATTGTTCCTCTATCTGGAAAAATATTATCACCTGAAAGAGCAAAAAATAAGCAATGATCTCTAGAAGTAGTACAAAATTTGGGCACCGGGCACTTGCTTTTGGAATTTACAAAAGAATGTATCTCCAAAGGTTACTACCTAAGTTGGGATACTCTACGATCAATCCCGTAAAGATGCTCTATGATAGCTAAGACGTCATTAGTATTGCAAATAATCCTGTGCATCATGATAAGACCAAACATATTGAGATTGATAGACATTTTATATCTGAAAAGGTCAATAGAGGCATTATTGGCTTAATCTATACATTCTGAATCATCTTTAAGGCGCTGGTGTTTTCACTAAACCTCTACCTCCAGCCAACTTCACTAATTTGAATACCAAGTTCGACATTTACAACATCTACAACTTCTATGACCTAGCTTGAGAGGAGTGTGAAATTCTTAGTTTTTTATTTTAGTGCTATTCTATTTTATTCTCTTTTTATTATATTATATTTCTTTCTTTTTTGAGTTTA